CCTTTCCCCAGGTCTCTTCCTTGTCAGACTTCTTCAAGGTCTTTAATGGTTCATCTCTAATTCTATGATTTCTTTGCCACATTTCTAGACTTCTGCTACCTTTTTATGTCCTTGGAAATTCTTTAGTAACTTCTTTAAAGGATGTGAAATATGCAAGAACTATCATCTACCTTGGACAAATTCACTTTAAGAGATACGAAATCCTAGACTTCAAATTTAGATCTGTGGTTATTTTCTATCTGAAAATTCTTTTTCTTAGGAGTACTGTATTTCTCTCTATTATAGTAATATTTTGACCACTTTATTTATGGCAATAACATGTGTATATGTGTTTGTGTGTGTATTTTGTCAGAGCACTGCTGCTAGAATTTTTAGTAGAATGCAGGTGATAAATTGAAGATTTATCTTGCCGCTTCAGTCTTCTGTTTCATGGTAATCAACATGAAACAGAGACCTTCTTTAGGGTAAGGCCACAATCAGCAGCATTTTTAGAATTCAAAACATTTTTAATGACTTTTTTTTAGTAGGAAATGAGCACCCTGATTTTAACTTGGTGGGGGAGTTTAAAAAATTTGAGAAAAGATGTTTTCCTTGATAGGGAGTTATCAAGGAAAACAAAACTTTGATTTCCTTTACATAAGTAAACAGAAATGAAATATGTATTTATAATACATATACTAAATAAATATATGTATTTTTATATATCCTTGTATATATACATGTTTGCATATATGTGAGTGCTCAAGGTAAGTTCAAGGTGGAATGAGTTAAAAGGAGAATGTTTAGGTTATCTGACATAATATAAACCAAATTTCTCTGAATTTCGTTAGGAGGTTAGAAAGCTGCTTCATGAAGAATATTTTTAGGACAAATTTTAAGATAACCTTAAAAAAGATTTGCTAATATGTATTTTCTTGTTGTATATCATGTGAACAGTCACTTCCTGAAATTTCTTAGTTTTATCACTACAAAACAGTCACACCATAACAGCCTTGTCAAATATTTTAAATGGAAAGAAACAAAATACACAAACTAAAGAAACTGAAATCCACAGAAACAGAAAAAAAATTCTTTATTTCATTATTTTAATGGATCTTAAAATGCGTAAGCACTTTGATAGATTCTTTTTTATATAGGATTTCCTGGTTTTCAAAGTATATAATGCAACAAAAAAGTGAACCCGGCTTCTTTTTTTCTTGTTCATTGGAGCTATCACATCTCATCTATCAGACCTCTAAGTAGAATTTTTAAAGTGGGGTACTCTCTCACGCCCAAGCACTATGTAATTAGCATATGAATGTGTAACGGATTGTTTGAAGTAACAATTAAGGGAACAATACATAAAGGAACTGAAGAGAGCTACCAACACCTGGGAATCTTGTATTGAAAAAGCTTTCTTAATGTAAGTAATTAAAAACCAAGGATAAATGTTCATTGTGTAGGGATCAGACTCTACAAGGAAAGCTAAAATTCTGCTGATGTTTTGCTGTTATCCTTTAGAATGAATCATTAAAACAAGAGCTTACTGTTTTATTTATTTCAATAGAATGCTTGTTAAATACAGGTTTTGCATGGTATCTGATCTCCTGAAGTCACCACAATGCATAACAAAATGTCTTACATTTCTAAAATATTTATACTTAAAATATATTAGAAATGTCAAGGAATCTTTTTCCTATGGCCAGTGCAAAGTTTCAGAGAAAATTTCAGTTGATTGCCAGCTTAAATCACGTATACAGTCAATTCTTTATAATTTATTTGTCCAAGTAATTCCTGCTAATGAACCTGTAGCCCGCTGTATTGTTTTGCACTGTTTTGTGTCTCTTGAAGGCAAGCATGCTATAGAGGCTCCTGCTGAGGCAGAGCACCTTAGGAGAGTAACCAGTAGCTCAGGATTTGTAGGAATCCTTGATATTGAGGGAGGATAAATGAAGTGGAAGTCAGGGACCCCGCATTATGGTTTCCATTTTTTATCACTTGCTGCCTGTACAAACCACTTACATTTTTTGGCGTAAATCTTCTTATCTCTAAAATAGGAATTACTTTTTTCTACACTGTTAAAAGTCTCAGTCAGTAACCTTTTATGGCCCTTTCTAATATCCAGTTGTATATATTCATTTGTAATAAAGAAACTCTTAACCCCAGGATTTAACTTAAATCAGTTTAGTCTTAAATAACTAGCATTTTATGGAACAACCCTATTTGAAAAATAAATTGTGAGCCTAAGATTTCATTGGTAAGTAGAAAGTGAAACAAAATTATGTATGAATATTCATAACAGCATTATTCATAATAGCCCAAAATTAGAAACAACACGAGTATGCATTACGTGATGAATGGATGAATAAAATATGGTATATTCAATTGTCAAAACAAAAATTGCACCAAAGTTAAACAGGAAGGAAATACTTTATTCAAGGCTGTTGCAGTAGGGGAGAGAAGCTAGATCTGAGTTTGAACTCAACACACATGAAGCAGGCTGGGTTAGGTTTTTAAGTGCTGGAGTGAACTTGTGGAAAAGAACTGCAGGACATTCAGGGCCATAAGCTATCTGTGTTTGCTGATTGGCTTTATCTAAACTACCTCTTGTCATAAAGATAGGAGTCTATCTAAATAAATTTAAGTTTATCTAAGTAAATTCGTATCTTTATGACAGGAAGTCGTTTTTATAACTTGGAGCAAGGTGCCCCACTGAAGTTAGGCTCTTACCCTCCCACCTAAACTGGAAGATAAAAGTGCTGTCTCTCTTGTTGATTACTTTTCAAAGAGGTGGTTCCCGGGTCCTTGAGAGGTACATTTCTGGATTATAAAGTTACCAGGTGGCTATTAAAAAGATTTATGTCTCACAGGAGTAGAGCAAGAATTACAAACCAGACACAGTGGCTCATGCCTGTAATCCCAGCACTTTGGGAGGCCGAGGCAGGTGGATCACGAGGTCTGGAGTTGGAAACCAGCCTGACCAACATGCTGAAACCCCGTCTCTACTAAAAATTCAAAAAAAGTAGGCAGGCATGGTGGCGCGCACCTGTAATTCCAGTTACTCAGGAGGCCGAGGCAGAAGAATTGCTTGAACCCGAGAGGTGGAGGTTGCCGTGAGCTGAGATGACGCCATTGCACTCCAGCCTGGGTGACAGAGCAAGATTCCGTCAAAAAAAAAAAAAAAAAGAATTATAATTACAATTTTCCTAAAGTGAATTCTATAATAAAGGGAAATCAAGGGCCTATGGCCAAGAACAACTCTTTCTAAAGTTTAGTCAAACCAAGGGGAAGTTTAAGGCTGTCCTGGTCACCCTATGATAGAATATTATTGGACAGTGAAGGAGGATGAAGTATTCATACATGCTGTGCCATGTATAAACCTCAAAAACATTATGTGACGTGAAAGAAGGTGATAGCAAAAGGCCATGTATTGTATCATTCTGTTTATATGGAAATGTCTAGAATAGTCAGATCTATATAAACAAAAATATTAGTGTTTTCCTAGGGCTGGGGGATGGGCGTGGGTGTGGGGTGGCAGCTAAGGGTATGGAATTTCTTTTTAGACTGATGAAAATGTTCTAAAATTGTTTGCAGGAATGGTTACAAAATTTTGCAAATACTCTAAAAGCCATTGACTTGTACACTTTAATGGATGAATTGTGTGATACATGTATTATATTTTAATAAAACTATTGTAAAAATAGATTTATGTTGAAGTGTGTTATATAGCCAATAGAATATTTACTTAATATATGGATTTTTAAAAATTTAAACACGACCAACACCTTTATTTTTCCAAAGTAGATTTTGGCTTTGGATAACCTATGAATTTTAAGTGTGCATTTCTGATAGCTGGCCTGCCTTTTAGTTTTTAAAAAATAGTAATTTATTACCATGTTGTAATAATCAGAGAGTATATAACATGGAAGAAAGAAAAATAAATTCTGAAATGTCCTTGAGATATTTGCATCCAATAGAGAAAACAAACGTATACAGATAATAAGAAGTAATTTCGTACTGTATAAACAGTGTCAATGTATGAATGAATAATATTCTACAAGTACGTTTGTAAACTAGCTCTTTGTAGCTTTCTCTACATAAACAGTTCTGTCATCACCAATCAGGTTCCAAACCTATCCTGCAAAGATTTATTTTACCCACTACGTAGCTGAAATGAAGTATTAATGTTAGTATAGTCAGGGATTAAGGGACAATCATACAAGGAGGAGAATGAATCTGAACACTCCCATTTGTTGGATGCAGGCGTGGCTCCCAGCAAAATTTTGAATTATGCAGAGTGAGACTGGTTTTCACCCATCTTCTTTTGTCTATCCCTTGCCCCATGTTCTAGATCTGGAGACTCTCTTTCTGGGTCATGGGGCATTCACTACCTTTATGGCCCTAGGTTTCCCATTGCATTACCTAACTCAAGCATCTCTGTTCCCCCAAGGGACAGATTCACTCACGCTATCTGACATAACATTTCTCCCAAACAACATATGCACATTTAAATTCTACTTTCTGACAGCAGCTAATTTTGTTTTGCATTAGGATGGAAGCAAACTTTGAAAGCATGATCAATTCTGGGTACCCTAGAAGCATTTTTCAGATAAAACTTGGATTGTAAATGTAAAGGTATCTTTAATCAATAGGATTTCAGGCATTAGACTTAGGGAATGGTAACAAAAATTTGGAGGCATGACAAGCTGTCCTTTCTGACTCCAGTCCCTCTTTGGGGCTGAACCCCTCTAAGCTGCTCTTTCATTACCTAAATATGTACCTTGTTTCTGCCTGAATGTCAGCATCCTTTAAATACACCCTCTAAAATTTTACTAACTACCAGAACAAGAGCATTGGAATGTATAATGTAATGGTGGTGGTTGAGGTTGAGAGAACACATTGAGAAGATGACATGGAAAGAAGTAATCAAGAACTATTTATGGTATGAATAATTTGGGCATCTTTTATTTTTGGACATATATTTTTCTACATACTGATTCCTTGGTTTTTCTTTTTTGTAGATTGGGCTAATGGATACTACAGACAACAGAGAAAACTTGTTGAAGAGATTGGCTGGTCCTATACAGGTAAACATATTACTTATATAATGAGATTTAGCAGAAACTTTTATTGTTTTGTATCTGTTTTTATATATAAAAGGAAGCTTTGTAGCACAATACATCATGTCAACTTAGCTAAATGGATAGTTAGATTAATTAATAGATATATAAAATACAAAATGATATCTTATAGGCTTTCCATAAACAAATTTGGTAGTGTAGGGCTTATTGACATTCACCCAAACTGTATTTGAAGCTCAGGCCCAAGCTGTCTATATACCTTCAAGAAATAGCATAACCTGGGGCTCTGTTTTTTTCAGCAGTGAAATGGGGGGCTGTTCTGAGCATTAAATGAGATAAATAAAGTGTGAAGCACTTGTCAGAGAGCCTACTTCTAAACAGAAACCTCTCAATAAATGTTAGCTGCTGGAGTTGTTATGATCATGCTAACGATTATTTTTGTTCCTTTAACAAATATTGATAGGATTCTTGCTCTCAGAAGGAGCATTCTTCTGAATTACTATTGTTTATTTATTGGTGTTAGAGTATAAAATGATTTTGTCACATTACTAGACTTTGCTTAGAACGTTATGAACATCTGAAGTTGGCTTGAAATAGTTAACAACCAAAAATCATTATCAGAAACTCTGGGAGAGAAAGTTCTAGCCCTGAGTGGAAGAATATGAGTGGAATTTAGGTGAGCCATGGCATGCCTAGTAACCATCTGGGATGGAGTTGAGTATTAGAGTTGGGTACTCATTAGCAATAAGCTTGGGTTGATAAGATAAAATCACATTACAAGGACTTTACCATGAGTCTGGTCAATTTTACTTAATAGATGAAGCAGAAGCATGTTGAATTTTGTAGATAAGAATATATTTTCTTTCTTCTTTTTAATTGCTACCTTAAAAGTAGTAAATGTTCATTGTAGAAAATTTAGAAAATAGGTTCAAGTACAAAGAAGAGCATAAAAATCATTATTTTATTCTCCTCAGGAATAGCCACTTAAAAAGCTGCTATAGTCCTTTTAGGACAATTTTTATTATCCAGAGTTTATATATTTTACTTATAGAGTTATGTATCCAGTTTACTCTTAAAATTATATTTATTTCCTCATTTTCATTATTCTTGCTTATCATGATAGTTAATCTGCTTACTAATCCATTGAATAATTTTTTTATTATGTAACCACTTCCTTATTTTTGCATATTTAAGCTTCTATAAGCAGTGACAGATAGATGAATTGACAGATATGTTTTTATTTTTATTACTTCTGTGCTATAGAATTATTGATATGTAATTACTGAGTAGAAAAAAAAAAAAACTTTCAGGCCGGGTACGGTGGCTCAAGCCTGTAATCCCAGCACTTTGGGAGGCTGAGGTGGGTGGATCACGAGGTCAGGAGTTCAAGGTCAGCCTGGCCAACATGGTGAAAACCCATCTCTGCTAAAAATACAAAAAAAATTAGCTGGGCATGTTGGCACACACTTGTAATCCCAGTTGCTTGGGAGGCTGAGGCATGAGAATTGCTTGAACCCGGGAGGTGGAGGTTGCAGTGAGCCAAGATCACGCCACTGCACTCCAGCCTGGGTGGCAGAGAAAGATTCTGTCTCAAAAAAATAAAACATTAAATAAATAAATAAATAAATAAATAAATAAATAAATGTGTGATGCACACTGCCTAAGTGCTTCCTAGACAGGTTACACGCGTCTGTCATATAAATGACTACTCCACTGTATACTACCCAAGATTGGTGATTGTCATATCGAAAATCTTTGCGAATTCAACAGATTTTTAAAAATCAGGTCTTGTTACTTTAATTTGCTTTTTTTAAATTACCACTGAAGTCATGATTTTTTTAATTAGCCATTTGCACTGTACCTCTTCAGTGCAATAAGTTAAATTAGAACCTGGAAAACGGGCCAGGCGCGGTGGCTCACGCCTGTAATCACAGCACTTTGGGAGGCCGAGGCAGGCGGATCACGAGGTCAGGAGATCGAGACCATCCTGGCTAACACGGTGAAACCCCGTCTCTACTGAAAATGCAAAAAATTAGCTGGGCGTGGTGGCGGGCGCCTGTAGTCCCAGCTACTTAGGAGGCTGAGGCAGGAGAATGGCGGGAACCCGGGAGGAGGAGCTTGCAGTGAGCCGAGATCGGGCCACTGCACTCCAGCCTGGGTGACTGAGCAAGACTCTGTCTCAAAAAAAAAAAAAAGAACCTGGAAAACAATCAAGATATCTGTCAGTGCAGCAGGAAGAGTGAACAAATTAAGGCACATCTCGACTGTGGAGTACTCTGCAGATGGGTATGAGGTAAACCTCTGTAATATTGTACAGAAAGACCTGCTATTAATTTACTCATTTATAATAAGCACCCATACATCTATAAAATACTACTTTTGATATTTTTAAATCCTAAAATATACATAAAAGCAAAAATTGTTCATAATTCAACTCCATTTTGAATTATTTAAATGGAATTATTTTCTTTTTTATTTTGCTATATAAACAAATTATACCCAATTTAATAGGCATCAGCAAACTCTATTTACTTGAGGAATTTCTTTTTTCAGTAAACATGAATTTTAATCAAAAGGGTTGTTGGACCAAAGGGCCTACCTATTTATAATATTAATAGATATGGTCAAATTAATTTCAGAAAATTGTGTTAAAATTATCTATTTCCCCACGTTTTCACTAACACTAACTCTAAAAAATCTAGTCAATTTGATTAACCAAAAATGGAATCTAACTTTTAATTTGTATTTCCCTGATTACCTAAAAATTTTTCTGTTATGTTTTTGTATGTACTACCAATTGGGTATATGTTTATTAACTAATGTAGTATTGTCTTTTAAGAAAACTTTATAATTTTATATACTTTATAACTTCACATCTGACAGTTGTAACTCATTTTGTCTTTCTTTTCCTACGAAAGAGAAATCCTAGTATCTTTTAAAAATCATGGCTGTTTTTTAATGCCCCTAGTAATTATGAGAAACATGTTAGGAGGGACTAAGAATGCTTAGAGGGCATCCCTGACCATGGAAGATGACATTACAAGGGGAAATTCCTAGTTTTCCTGGAAAATATCTGCCAGTGTCACCATCTGGGCAATAATTAACGCAGGACATCTTTTTAAATGATTAATTTAGGTATTGCTAGTTGTGGTTTGGGAATGCTGCTTCCAGGATAAGCTTTTCCCCAAAAAGTTCTTCATGAGTATTAAAGTTCTACATGTTTGGGCCTTTTACGTTTATATTTTTATTTTTAATTCCTAAGAATATGACAAGCCATCTTTTAAAAATTCACTACTCTATTGTTTTTAAGATAATGTTTGCTCCATTAAGAGTAATATATAACTGTTTTAAAAACGTGATACCTAGAGATATTATCACAGAATAAAAGTCAGCCTGGTTTAGTGTTCTTAACAGCTAACTTTCTAGTTTCAGAAGCAAAACTAGAAGCAGGTTATTTTCCTCTAACCAATCAATTTTCAAACAGAGAAGTCAGATATTTACCAAGTATGTATGAGTAAAATGAAAAACAAACTTCAATGCACCCTCCACTCTCCCTAAACCCAGAGTTAGAAAACGGAGGACCTACTGCTTAGGGAGAAAGAAAATTATAGTTCTCAGCTCCAAGCAAGGGTGGATGTATGTTGACTAATGGAGAGATGGTGGTGTGTGTTTCCCAGCAGCCCAGGGGCCCTATGCATCTTGGGTGTGCCTCATCAAGTTAGGAGAAGACAACAGTTTAACCAGGGTTTCAGCAGATATGATAGCAACAACACATACCATTGTGCAATATCTTATTATCTTAGGAGACAGCCACAGAGCTGCTCCTTTTAATGGGCTGAGTATAGGCACGGCATCTATAGAGTGGCTAGGCTTTGACAGATGGGTCTTTGCGGAAACAATGCATAGTTCTTTGCTTTAAAATCAAGTTGAATCATCTTGCTCATAACCTAAGGCCTATTGGCTTTAGCTTCTTTCAGGAAAGTCTAGTGATCAAAGGGATAGACTCATTAAAATGTGGTATTTGTTGTAGGCAGTGGGGTGGCAGATCTCAAAAAGGGATGTTCCAGAGTCAGAGTGAGGATGGAAGCTTACCAAAGTTTTAGAGTGAATTGCTTTATTTACATTAGTGCTTCCCATTGGTTTGGAAAATTATTCCTAGAATATTGGAGGATCCTAGGAAAAAAATAAAGATGAGGACATTTAACAGCTCTTTTTTTAGCTCAAACTGAGAGGACATAATTATTTTGTCTGAATTACTAGACTATCTAAGAGAAAACAAATAAATGAAATTCTTTATCCAAATGAATGTATTTCACCCAAGCAAAGTACATCAAAAACAAACCTTTAACGTGGATTATTCGCTATAAAGTGAATTATCACTTTTTATTTTTAATACAAGTATTTAAAGTTTGGTAGTATTTTTTAAATTTCTATGCCATTATTCCATTTAGAAAATGAACGACTATGCTAACTGCTTAAAATAACTATGAAAATAATAAAATTTTAGTCTTATTCTTAAATGTAACTAATTTTGTGAGTGGCTTGAGGAAATTGGACTTGACCACATTCAGTTCTAGTTTCATCTTAACAGTTTATCTTGTTGAGCTGTATATTTGTGTTCCTTCCCATATTGTCTCATCATTTAAATTCGTCAAATTAGTGGCAATCACAGAAGAAATGACTTACCCTTGAGTGTTTGAACATACAGGA